GGACATGAAATGGTTCATAGGTTTGGAGACAATATGGTCTCGTGGAATGGGGTCACTCGGGATGAGTTCAAAGTTAGGTTCATGATGTAAAGAATAAGGCTATTATTATTTATAAGGCAAGTTAAGGATAAATTAGAAGAAGGTATATTGGTTAGCCATGGTTGAATCAGCATAATGATGGCAGTGATCAGTTCCTTCAACGTTATTAAGTTATGCATATGATTTATGGCGATATGTGCGAGGCTTAACAACCGCCGTAATTTAGAAGTATTCAAGTATTATGGTATGTTATGTATAGGGAGATCCCGGAAGGGTTATGGTGGTTTAGACCACTACTTGAGGATTTGCATATTTTGCGGTTATGAGAATTTACTCGCGTATTGCTATGGTTCTCTTGGAATGAGATAAATAAAAGGTTTCTATATGATGAAATGTTTACCATATTAGTGGTTCAGGGGTTATGATGAAGTTCTGGTACTATCACATATTGGCATGTTAGGCTCAGTGAGTAGTATGAAGTTTGAAAGTGAGGATCAAGGTTGCGGTTTGGTGTTGACAAGGATGTTATGAGCTCGGATGAGCAGGAAGGGGATTTGGATGTTTGGAGTAAGCTAGTATTGTTTTCAGCGTCACCTGAGATTGGTGTCTTATGTAAAAGGCTTTGCATACCGATTGTGGATTCTCGATTTGATTCACAGCGTTAGTGTGGCCGGTGGTATGGGTGTGCAGACTTGTTACCCGGTGCGGGAAGTCGTAGAAGCGTGTACCACTGAAAGATTATATAAATGTGACATGTAGTCACTTGATTAATCGAGGATTTAGACCAAGTATGGAGATTGTGGTAATATCACAAACTTGAGGATTTATGCATGGAGGGCGTTTGGTTAATTTGGTTGTGGATCGTGGAAGTTTGTTCCATTTATGATGGTTGTTCTTGGGTGTTGTGGGAAAAATGGGTTATTATGAACCCTTGAGGTTATTAGCCTAGTATGGTGCGATCAGAATCGGCTTGAGGTCTGTGAATGGATATAAATATGAATATGGGCTATATATATCAGTCCAGATGTGTTCATTTCAACATGGCACTCTTCATGGAGGAGTATTCGAACGTTGGATGTTGTTTCTTTATCGGCTATTTCATGTAATATTATATTGTGTTGTATGAGTTGTGAAACATCTTGATAACTTCATATATGTCGAGGTTCCGCGTAGCGATGGTGTTATGTGAGCAGGATGGCTCTTGATATTCAGATCATATATCGCACCTTAGTTGTGCTTGAGTTTTGTAGCGTTTGGCACTGTCTGTCTCTAGGGATTGTATTAAGCACTTAGCGTGCTTGTGGCCAATGTTCGGTATTCTGTAGTAATGAGCAATTTAGCTTGATAAGTATCTCCTTATGCAAATTTTATGTGTGGATCGAGTGGCACGCCTCCACGGGTATGTTGTTTAAGATCGGGTTGTATGCGCGCAACAGTGTGATATTGAGTACAGTTTCCTACATCTATTTTTGTGTGTTTTGTTTTCCATTTTCTGAGGAAGGTTTATAACACCTTTTTGGTTGTGTAATTAGTTGCGTGGGTTGATTAGTCCCTTCTAGAGTTCGTTTTCCTTATGTATCATGTTCGAGTTTGTAGCTTATTGGCACATTGTGACATTATGTGAGGTTTTTTTTGTTATGTTTGGGGTGGCTTGTTGTCTGAGCCGCTTGTACCGGGTGAGGCGAGATTATTGGACCTAGGATAAGTGAAATCGAGTTTATATGAAGCATATTAAGAAGCAACTATCGTTGTATGGTCCAGAATGAGGTAATGGTTCTTGTTAGGAGTATAGACTCAATGATTTGTTGACTCGACAGTTCGTTATGAATTTCTACATGTCTCTTCCGTCATGGCAGTATTACAAGAGTTGGAACAAGACTTATATATGCTATGAGGTGCATTGGGAGCATCAGATTTGCGGAATGTCGGCTATTATGATTAGAGAATGTTATTATGGTCCTGTGAATGATGGGGGTGCATGGTGTGAATTCAGCAAAGGTATGCAGTCATGTTCTGGTACATCGTGTGGTGATTGATACGGTGTTCGTATGTTAGAAGCAGGCCTGGCAGAGAATTCCGTATGTTGGAACTGGGCTCTAAGCTTATTTTCTTGAATAAAAGAGAACATCTTCAGATTTGATCGAATTAATGTGCTCAACTGAGTTGTGGTAGCACGGATAGGTGCACGAGGTGTTAAACAGTTCTTTCGGACAACTCCAGAGCAGTTCATATCACGTTCGAGGATGAACGTATGTTTAAGTGGGAGAGAATGTATTGACCCGCCAAGTCGTTTTGAGTTCTACTGCGTCGTTCAGCAGTTTGAGGCCATGAGCAGCTTAACTTAAGGTGTTATGACTTTTACGCGTGGTCGGAATTGAATTCCGAGAAGTTTAGAGTTGATTTGGAAGGAAAATTCTTATTTCGAAAGCTTTAAGTTGGAAGAACTGACTAAGATTGGATTTTAGAGTAAACGGCCTCAGAATCGGGATTTGAATATTCCAACAGATTCGTACGTTGATTTCGGACTTAGACGTATGCCGGAATCAGGTTTTGGATAACCCGAGAGCGTTTCAGCGCCTATTGTGGAAGTTAGCTTTTTGGAAGAATTTTATAAATTTGGGTTGAAGTGCATTTTAGTGTTATCAATGTCTGTTTAGGATTCTGAGTCTAGGAATAGCTCTGTATGATGATTCTGGTAGTGGAAGCGCGTCTGGAAGTTGACTCGGGGGTCCGTAGGTCATTTTGGAGTCGTTTGGCGGAAGTTAGAAGTTTGAAGGCTATTGAGAAGTTTGACCGGAAGTGGACTTTTGATATCGGGGTCGGAATCCGATTTTGGAAGTTGTAGTAGGTCCGTAATGTCAAATATGACTTGTGTGCAAAATTTGAGGCCAATCGGACGTGATTTGATAGGTTTCGGCATCGAATAAAAAAGTTTGAAGTTCTAAAGTTCATTAAGCTTGAATTGGAGTACAAATCATGGTTTTAGCATTGTTTGATTTGATTTGAGGCCTCGAGCAGGTCTGCGTTATATTTTAGAACTGGTTGGTATAATTGGATGGGGTCCCGGGGGCCTCGGGTGGATTCCGGGTGGTTAATGGATTGAATTTAGAATTTGAAGAAGAATTGAAGCAGTTGATATCTGGTGTAACCGCACCTGTTAGGTTTTGGCTGCCGGAGCGGAGTCGCAGAAGCGAAGCTGGGCAGTTAGACGAAGGACTGCAGGTGCGGAATTGTGGCCGCATATGCTCAAGCGCAGAAGCGAAGAAAGGGGCGCAGAAGCGGAAGAGAACCACAGAAGCGGTATTTTGTCTGCACCTGCGGAACTGCAGAAGTGGACAAGTGACCGCATGTGCAAAGAATCGCTAGGCAGTGTGTTTATTTAAAAAACAGGAGTTGACCCATTTTCTTTCATTTTTTCTTGGTTTGGGAGATTCTTGGAGGGTTTCAAAAGGGGGTTTTTTATCATCAATGGCAAATTTTGGAGTATTGGGCAACGATTTGAGGTGATAGAGTGGCGTTGGAGTCAGTTATGGAACTTCGGAGAGAGGTAAGTCTCCTTTCTAACCTTGTAAGAGGGAATTATCCTCATAGGTGAAGTTTAAATATGTGCTCCTATTTGTAGGGGCTATGTACACACAAGGTGACGAGAGTCCGTGCGTAGCTTTATTATGCTTAAGTCCGGGTAGTCTAGGACCCAAAAGCATGCTATACTTGCGATATCTGTAACCCTATTGTCGATTTAAAATGCTTAATCATATCGAACTTGGTAAATGAATTTCTAAAAAGGGCTAAACATCATTTTCTGGACTGTTGAAAGAGAAGTTGTCATTTCTTTGGGTAATTGTTTCCCTGATGAATTCTTGATTGACTGTTTGAATGTATTTATCTATGTGTAACCGCGTCGCACGTATGATTCGCGAGCGAGGTAATTATTTTATTTATATTTGACCGCATCACATGTATGATTTGCGATCGGGGTAATAGATGCATCTATGGTTCGCGTCATTCGACCCTCTAGCAACGCACAATTTTAATATTATATTGGATCGGGTCGTACGACCTCGACATGATTTGTGCATGACTTATTTGATTGTTTTGGAATTATTGATAATTGATATGGCCTCATCGGCCGGAGATGTAAATTGCTAAAAGATGGAAATAAGTTTGAAGATTTCTATTAACAAAAGAATTGTTTACCTGCTTCATGATTATTGAGTTTTCAGACGCCTTTTAAAATTCATGACTTTTCACATTATTGGTATTATATTATCGGACCACTAGTAAGTGTCGAAGTCGACCTCTCGTCACTACTTCTTCGAGGTTAGACTGAATACTTATTGGGTACGCGTTATTTTTGTACTCATACTACGCTTGCTGTGCATTTTTGTTGCACAGACGCATGCACGTCTAGTGGCCTCGTTGGGTGCAGCGGCATGGTTGATACGGAAACTTAAGTGAGCTGCATCTCTCGAGACGATCTGCAACCAACAGAGTCTCTTTCAAAGTATTGTATTTTCTTTTCTATGCAATTTGTATTTCGGACGGTTATTGTATTTCATTTTATTTCCTAGAAATTGTTCATGCACTTGTGACATCGGGTTCTGGGATGTATATGGGATTATTCAGTATTAAAAATTTGTTAAAGATATCATTATTTACTCGGTGAAGTTCATTATTTATTGTTTAATGTAAGAAATAGAAATAATTTCAAAAATACTAAAATGAGAATTTAATTAACTTTTTGGTATTGGCTTATCTTATCGTGGTATCAGACGTCATCACGACTCTTACTGGATTTTGGATCGTGACAATTATATTTTAAGTACCTTGATAACATAAACAGATTTATATTGTACTCTAATAGAAGTTATAGTCATTTGCAAGCCATATCTTGCGACCGGCGGAAAAACCAATCAACCATCAATATAAGTGCGACAGAGAACGAATATAAAAATATTAGTACTACGTACAATCATACCAGCTAACAATAAAAAATCCAAACGACTTTCGAAAAACAATTAAAGCTGCATCAAATCTTATCTTACTTATACTATTCTTTATCTTTACATCCACGAATTGCATCACTGAAAAATTCAGAGAGATTTTGGCATTACAGAAATGGCGGAAAACAGCAAAAAACTGCATATTGCAGTATTTCCATGGCTAGCTTTTGGCCATATGATTCCATACTTAGAATTATCAAAACTCATTGCTCAAAAAGGCCACAAAGTTTCCTTCATTTCAACCCCAAGAAACATTGATCGTCTCCCTAAACTTCCTCCAAATCTCGTCCCGTTCTTAAATTTCTTCAAATTTCCTGTGCCCAAAATAGAAAAACTACCAAAAAATGCAGAAGCCACCATTGATGTTCCTTATGAACAAGTCAAGTACCTCAAACTTGCGCAAGACGGACTTCAAGAATCCATGGCGAAGTTTCTAGAAGATTCAGCTCCTGATTTTATACTCTTCGATTTTACTTCTTACTGGGTTCCTTCCGTCGCTAAAAAATTTGATATTCCGACGGCTTATTTCAGCATATTTATCGCTGCGTTTCTGGGTTTTGTCGGACCCGTACCGGGTTTAAACAACGACTATGAAATTCGGACGACGCCGGAGGAATACACCGTTCCTCCGGCGTGGGTCCCAATTGAGACTACAGTTTGTTGGAAATTGTTTGAAGTTTTAAGGATCTTTGACGCTTCCATGGAAGGAGATGAAGAGAATGTTCCTGATATCTTTCGTATGTATAAAACCCTAGAAGATTGTGATATTTTGTTTGTGAGGAGTTGTTCAGAATTTGAACCGGAATGGTTGAAAGTTTTGGAAGATATTCACCGGAAACCGGTTTTTCCGGTAGGGCAACTTCCTACGACGTCGTATGAAGATGATAGTTCGACGATCGATGCATGGAAAAGTATAAAACTGTGGCTTGATATGCAAGAAAAAGGAAAAGTTGTTTACGTAGCGTTTGGTAGCGAGGCAAAACCGAGTCAAAATGAACTCACTGAGATTTCGCTCGGTTTAGAGAAATCTGGATTACCGTTCTTTTGGGTATTAAGAACTAAACGAGGAGAATCTGACGACGAACTGATTCGATTGCCTGAAGGATTTGAAGAAAGGACAAAGGGAAGGGGAATTGTCTGCACGAGTTGGGCACCACAGCTCAAGATACTGAGCGATGACTCAGTGGGTGGATTTTTGACTCATTCGGGATGGAGTTCAGTGGTTGAGGCTATACAATTTGAGAAGCCATTGGTTTTGTTAACATTCTTGGCTGATCAAGGGATAAATGCTAGGCTCTTGGCGGAGAAGAAGATGGCGTATTCGGTGCCCAGAGATGACAGAGATGGGTCGTTCACTCGTGACTCAGTAGCTGAGTCACTGAGTTTGGTACTCGTTGAGGAAAAGGGTAAGATTTACAGGGAGAAGGTTAAAGAGGCGAAAACTCTTTTTTGTGACAAAGGAAGACAAGATAGCTATGTGGAGAATTTTTTAAGTTATTTCCAAAATTATAGAAAAGCCTAAAATATGAAGGGGGAAGAAAGACTTAAATTAGTTTCTTTATATTTTATTTATGCTATGAATGATAAAATAAAACAAATGTACTTAGTTTCTTTATATTTTATATTTATGCTATCAATGTTAAAACAAATCAAATGTACTGAGAAAGTTCGAAGGCTGTTTGATTTAACGTCATCTTGTGGAGATTGCAATTAATAAATTATTACGTGGTTAATAATACTATAAAAATTATATTATATAAAATTATTATGGAGTGAATAATAGTACATGGATTGTTATATCAAAATCTTTAATTTAAGTGTATTTCTTGTTTTTGGATGCTTTTATCTTATGTATATATTGCTAATACATTTATTATTACTCGCAGGAGCGGATCCAACCTATTATATGTGGGTTCTCATGAATCCAGTAATTTTTGTATATATTTTGTATATCTGTTAAAAAATTCAACCCAATTATTTATATTATATTTATTTAAGGTCGCTATAAGAACTAATAAATTTTAAATCCTGAATCTGTCTCTGATTACTCGCATTTCATGTCGCGAGAGACTCCATCAGCGTAGCTAGACGCCACCATTACGCATACCTACAAGAGGCATACAGATTAGTACTATATTATATATGTTTTGGCAAAATGGGCATCTCACAGGCAGGGGCGGATCTAGAGTATAATATATGGGTTCCCGTGAACCCAATAACTTTTGCATAGACTTTGTATTTTTGTTAAAAAAATTATTAAATATTTATAAATAGGGATTTTTTTCTTCCTATACCATATATGAAAACTTTAATACCAAATATGAGCATAGTATCTAAATTACCCGCCTAGTCCACATTTTTCCTACAATTTCTGTACCATTCGTTTATTAGGAATTAATAGGACAGAATCTTCCCTTAATAACGCGCGAAAAATCAGGAAATAATCATGGGATTGATTGATTCTACATTAAATTCAAGTTTTGAAATGGAAAGGAGATTTCGCATCTGCGTAATTTACTCTTAAACTACAATTCAATTTTTTATTTAAAAAAGTACGAACAGCTTCAACAAACTACGAACAGTTTCAACAAACTGAATTCAAATTGTAGAATTCAAATTTTCGAGATTCAACAACTCAACATTGCTATATTCTGTTCTTCGTCATTTTCAGAAATCAAATTGGCGATCATATATCTGTTCTTCGTCTTTTTTTCTCTCAATCTAGAAATCCAAAAAACGAAAAAATTTAGAATAATACATCAGCAACAACATGCAATCATGTCCAAAATCGCAATCATGCTACAATTGAATGAGAATTGGGATAACTGTGGCAGATTTAGAGATTTTGAAGTTGATGCCATTGTGGTAGATGAGAATGCAAGCTACAGTATTCTGATTTCTACAATTGCAGAACAACTATCGATTGATACTTCAGAAAAAATTGTAGAAATCAAATACATGGTGAACGACAATTGTCCCCCAATGGAGATTAGGAATGATATGGGGGTTCATGTGTATATGGAGACAAAAAAGGAGAATAAAAACTTAGGTTCATATCCGTTATGTATAAATGTACGAGATTTCAATATGGAATTGGCAATCACCAACGATAACACAAGTGCAGGTTTTACTATATCTACAAATTATCTACAAAGATTCTACAAAATTATAATGACACTATTTATCTTTATTTTGATGCAGGTTCGTCTGGATCCCTAAAGTTACTTGAGATGTCATCCTCTCCAGTTATAGAGGAATATCAAAGTGAAATAATAACAGAATCTACGCAAACTGCTATTGAAGAAGGACAAGTGTATCAGGACAAGCAAACTGTAGTTGCTGCAATGAAGCACTTTTCTGTGATGCACAAGTTCCAGTTCAGAGTTAAAAGATCTAGTCATAGACGGTATGGAGATATTTGTGGAGAAAAGATCATTAAAAGCAGTGTTTTACTCAAGATATGTGTTTTTTAAACATTGTAGATAAATTGTAGTTACATTGTAGTTAAATTGTAGTTTATGTCACTTTATGTTAAAACAGTCCTTTTGTTGCATCTACATTTATAATCTGTATTAAATATTGTATTTTTTTTGTAGCTACTGGCTTGTATGCGTTGGTGAAAACTGTAAATGGCACTTCAAGGCAACGTCAATTAATGATTCTGCAATGTTCAAGATAAGGAGTTTCAACCGACAACACACATGCTCCTTAATGGACGAAACATTCATACAACGCAAACGTACTGCAGCTGTAGTTGGTAGTATGTTCATTCCAAAGTATTGTGATCCTAAGACTGTGTACACAAAAGGATATATAAACTGACATGTTATCCGAACACAGAGTGAATCTAAGCTACATGCAAGCATGGAGAGCAAAGGAAAAGGCTTTACAGTTTTTGAGAGGGAATATGGCTGACTCCTACAGCAAATTACCCAAATATTTTTATATTCTTGAGGAGACCTATCCTGGTTCGGTTGTTAAATTGAAGAAGACAGCAGATGAATGCTTCTTATACGCATTTGTTGCTCTTTGTACATCAATAAGTGGTTGGCAACATTGTAGGCCAGTAGTCGTAGTTGATGGGACACTCTTAAAGTCAGCCTATAGGGGGATTATGCTGACACCAAGCACCATGGATGCAGTAGGTAAAAAGTTTGTAGTTATTTTGTAGGCAGTCTATAAAATGTAGATACATTGTAGTAATTTTGTAGTTATTTTGTAGCTATTACATGAAATGTAGATAAATTGTCTATATTATGAAGATATATTGTAGGTGCTATGTATTTATATTTTTATATACATTTTCAAAGCTGCCAATTAATATTTTATGAATTAATAATGTAGGTACAATATTTCCCTTGGCATATGCTGTGGTTGATTCTGAAAACGACGCATCTTGGAAGTGGTTCTTTGAGCAATTCAAGCAGGCATATGGTGAAAGACCTTCAATGTGTGTTGTTTCAGATAGGAATGAGAGTATACTGAAGGCAACATCAATTGTCTATCCGGACATGCCATATTACTCTTGCATGTGGCATATTTGGACAAATATAAGGTCAAAATTCAAGAAGGGTCATCTACAATTACATGAATTGTACTTTGCTACAACACGGTCATACACTCTGGATGAATTTAATGAAAGGATGTCGAAGATTGAAGAGGAAGACCCGCATGTGAAATCTTACCTATATGATATTGGCTATCACAGATGGTCAAGAGTACATGCAACAGTGAATAGAACGTGGACAATGACATCAAATATTGCAGAGTCGTTGAACGTTGTAACAAAAGATGCAAGAGAGCTGCCGACATTTGACCTTTTAGAGTATATGCGGACACTGCTAGAACGTTGGACCAACGAGAAGTTATTGAAGGCGAATGGTACTTTCACATTTCTTGGGTCCGAATTCAACAAAGAATTAGAGAACAACAGAACATTATCTCAGAAGCTTAGGGTAAGATCTGTTTATTTGGTGCAGAAAAAAGAAATTACTTAATATGCAGTGTTTCCAGATTGTAGATAAATTGTAGTTAAATTGTAGATAATTGTAGGTTGTAGAAAAGGTGTAGAATATTTGTAGATAAGTTGTAGATAATCTATTTTTATGATTGAGATAATATTTTTTCTATTTGTTCTGCAATTGTAGTTGAGGGCTTCAACAGATCATATACATACTGTGTTAGATGGTATGAAGCGGTACATTGTGTGTCTAGAAAACAAGAAATGTAGTTGTGGCCAATTTCAACTTGAAGAACTTCCATGTGTGCATGCTTTGGCAGCATTAAGGCACAAGAATGAAACATATGAAAACTATTGCTCTCCGTATTACACAAGGGAGAGCCTTCTACGTACGTATGAAATACCGGTAAATCCTCTTCCTGATGAAAGCAAATGGAATGTGCCACAACGTATTTTGGATGAGGTAGTAAATCCACCGACGGGAGATAAAAGGCAGCCAGAGAGACCTCAAAAGGAAAGATATAAAACATATGATGAAATAAAGTCAAAGAAGTACAAGGTGTCATGTGGAAATTGTAGAGGTGAAGGGTATAACAAAAGATCTTGCAAGAATACGCCCTAGAAGAAATGAATATCATGTAGTTAGAATAGTTATTCAAACTAACTGTTAGTGAATTAAAGTTAGCAGATTTTTTGTGTAATCGTTTAAGTTTTTAAAGATCATTATGAAGTAGACTACAATTTGTTTATGTGTGTTTAATATGCTTTTATATACTGTGTCAGGTATCTAAATTTATCTTTGATATAGTGTAATTAAATTTTAATATTTATTATCTACAATACAACTGATATTAAAAAAATAACTTTAATGTAAAGTGTTTCCAGATTGTAGGTAAAATATAGGTTAAATGTAGTTAAATTGTAGTCTTGATAATAATTTGTAGATAAATTGTAGATAATATATTTCTATGATTGGAGTATTTATTTCTTCTGTTTGTTGTGTAATTTAACTTCAACTAACAGTTATATACAGATATTACCTAGAACTTGAAGGTATTTCATAAAAATTATGAACATATACAACTACAAAATTATATACAATAACTACATTGAGTGTTTCCAAAATGTGAATATTGTGAAGATTATTTGTAGGCAAATTGTATTCTAACATCAAAATACTCATGTTTAATATAATGAAGATACAGTGCTGTAAACAACTAATTTATATTCAAGTGAACAACTAATAATGAAAGATAAAATAACAAAACAAAAAGGTATGCTGCAATAAAAAATAAAAAATTTGTTCATAAAGTAGTGTATTCTCCTTCAACTACAAATTGGCATCAACTAAACTAGGAAAACAGGACACTATTTGTTCTTTCTCTGGACTCTAGTCTTCTCATTTAAAGCAGGAGCACCATTCCTCCTTGCTAGCCTGCCTGTAACCTCACTTTCACTGATTGACCCATCTTCTTGCTTCTTTGTAACATAGTCCCACAGGAGAGCTCCATAGCGTCTACGGTATTGGTCGATATCTGAAAGGTCTTCTGAAGGGATTGACAAATCTCCAAGGCTAACATACTCCGCAAAAATAGCCACAAATACACCACAATCGCTGCATAAGACAAAAATTTAATTATTTAACAAATGATTATAA